TATTAATGCTTTTGCTTTCTCAGCCCATTTATCATTAACTAATACAACAGAGACATAGACACATGTTTTTGTTTTATTTTCTTCATGTCCTAACTCATTTGTGAGCCAAGTTCTGTTAGGATGTGGGAACCTCTCCTGCTAGTGCAGAGCAGGGGCTGCAGAAATAGCCCCTGCTGTGCTATGCAATATGTTCCTCGGCTCAAACTGTAACGCACACAGTTCAGGGAGATTGAAGACAGCTGTGAATATGTCCACTGAAGGAATAGTTAAGCAAATTTTGTTCTTAGTTTGTAACTGCAAGTTAGAAACCATGGTAAACCATAGTTTACCATAAGTTTTAGCTGGAAACAATGGATCACTGAGTCTAATAGTTAAGATCACTCTCTTGTGTTTTAAAAAAAAAAAAAACAAAACAGTATTTTCTCTGATTACAGAAGATTCTGTATTAATTTAGAATGCAAGAAGCAATAGGAAGAAACAATTTCAGAATTAGCCCTACACTGGTGGTAAAATATTTTAGATTGTAAACTCTTAGAATAATCTAGTTTGGAAGGGACCTCTGAAAACCATCCAGCCCCACCTTATGTTGTGCATCCATGTGAAGGAGTACTGCAGTTTTCTCTGTAATTGCCTTTTAGATACTGGAAAACTCTGATTAGATCTCTCCAGAGCCACCTTTAAGGTTGAAACAATCCAGTTCTTTCAACTTCCATTAGTCACGTTCTCCAATCCTCTAATCATCTTGGTAACACACTGCTGGACTCTCTTCAATTTTTCAGTGGCTGTCTTTGAACTGGAAGGGGACAAAACTGGATACCACGTTCTAGGTGCGGCCTAACAGGAGCCCAGCAGAGTAGAATAATCCCATCCCTTGATCTGCTGGCTTTACTGGTACTGACGCAGCTCGAACATGGTTTGCTTTCCCTGCTGTAAGGGTGCGTCGCTGACTCATGTTCAAATCCAGTTCACTTATGATTTAACCACTATAGAATTTCACCCTAAGCTGATGGATCATTTTATGCCTATCACATTTCACCCTTGTTTCAGGAAGAATGTTCATACCCCTTTTTTGTGTGCGAGCACAAGACAGTACTCATTTTGGCACGCCTGCTGCTACTTAGCTCTTTGCAGTTCAGCAAGAACTTGAGTCCTGCTTGAAATGTAACTGGATGTGGATCCCCCAGCATGTTCCCCTAGAATCTCCCCCCATCCCTTACGTGTCAGGGACTATCGAATTTGGCCTATTTCATATGTAAAATGTTATATTCTCTCTCATGCCCTGTCTCTAGAAAAGACTTACAAATTTATAACTCTCTTTTTCGTTTCCACTTGGTAAGCGTTTTCCACAGAGCTTTTTATAACAGCAGCCTATTTCTTAGCTTTTTTTTTTTTTTTTATGAAAATCTCCCCCCAACACTAGAGGTGATTTCATTCCCGTTGTAAGTGTTGAATGTGAATAAGTAAGGAATGATAAATGTCCTAGTTTACCTATCTCTAGAAAGGCTTATTCCTCATTTGACAATTCATCTGAAAGTATGGCCTTCAGTTGCTTTAATACTATGTAGTCTGAAATGGCTTGAAGAAAAATTCCAGATTAGATTGCAGCAGAAGAATTCTCTTAATAGAGCCAATTACTTAATGAAAACAGTAACAAAGAAGAAGTTATGTCAGAGATTTTAGGCTGATGTTCTGTTTACCGTCAATTCTTTGAGAAATAAGAGCTTAATGCAAGATTGATTTCATTATACTGACCAAGCTTTTTCAAAAGCCACAAGTAGTTAAAAGCATTTGGGAAATAAAATAGTGCTGTATTTAAATGTGCCAGTTATGTGCTCAAAGCCCTACATAAAAAATTAAATTTTCAATTTAAATGACAAACTGTCCAGTTTTTAGGCTTGTTTTTTAGTGTCTGAGCATTATTATACTTTTTTAGTCTGAGAGGTAATCATCATTCATAATGCTCAGAGCAATTGGAAACAGAAACCAGTCCCTTTTAATTGTTTCCTTCCGTTGTATTTAATTTGGCTTCTCTGGGTACATTAAGATTCTTGGATGATGGATTTGTTTTCTGCTTGTTGTCTTAGTACTAAAAGCTAGACCCTACAGAAAGTTTTAGGGAAAAGGGGTATTCCAAGTTCTTTTTGAGAACCAATCTAAATTGTATGTGAACGTGTTTTAGATAGTCCTTTTTTTTGTTATGCTTATTTCATAGTCAAAATTCAACATTCTACTAATATCTAAAGTGAAGGTTTAGGTTTACATAGCTATAATATTTAAGGGAAGATGATTTTCTCTT